ACACATCCAAGAATGGAATAATTATTATTCTAAGTTGGTGGAAAGGATCCATAAGATAGATATTATTCATTTAATGGTTAATTCCATAGACCAGTTTTAAGATTAGGATCAGGATCATTCTTTGATACATTAGAAGAATATAATCCATTTTGTTTAAGTTGCAATCCTCAACCATAAAAGGATTGTTCAAGTAAAGGTTTGATTAGAGCAGTCTCAGCCAAGGCTTCATAATTCAATGGAAATCCAGTTAATTCTGGTGATAGATTCGGAACAACGGAATAATATTCTGTTTAAGGATGGTTTAAATGGAATGGTAAGACATCTGAAAAAGATTAATTATTATTCAGATTAACATCTACTCTTGCTGGTGAAGATGCACTTAATTTTGATACACTTAGTTGTTACTTTGATACTAGAGATTAAACACTTAATTTCTATACTTATACATATACTGATTAATTAGGGTAATTTATATAATTATAATATTAGATCTGGAAATCCTGAAGTTAGATAGATTGTTGAAGGTAAGACATTTGTCAAAGATTGGTTCCATATTTACTTCGCTTATTCAAGAAAGAGTAGATAAGCTGATGTTATTGTTGAACATTCATAAGGAAAGGGAGCTTTATCATTCAAGAATGTAAATCATTATGTTGCTCCATCACTTATTCTTTACTATGGAAAAGATTAATTGACTGATGCTTTCTAAGGATTTATTTAAGGATTGAATTTATTCGCTTGTGATATTACTTATTAACCAACTCCAAAACCAGTTGAAGATTGTACACCAATGAAAGAGTATTAAAATAAACTTATTTTAATAGTCCAATTTGTTTAGCAGGTGATTAATATGAAAACGTATCATTGACTAATATTGATAATGTTGTTTAAGAATTAGAAAAAAGAAAGTAATTAATGTAAGACAAATAATTTGTTTTGCCAACAACTTAATGCTTCTGTTTCCCATAATAAGGAAAGAAAGTTATTCCTTAGAGATAAGAAGGTTTCCTTGAAATTTATGATGATGACGAAGAACCATAACAATAAGATTCTGTTGAAATATGAGTTTATCATTAAAATCATAAAATTATCATCATCAATCAAAAACTATCAATGAAATTTAATCACTCTTGAATTCTTTTGAATGAGAATGATCTTTCTTTTCTTATTCCTCTTAATCTTACAAATCAATTAACGATGCTGATTTCTGAATACAATTATCTTGATCAAATTTTAGATTATCATCTTATAGATGATCAATTTATTATATTGATTTGTAACAATCCTTATGATCTTGATTAGATGTATAAGATTAATTTGTGTTTAATTAAAAATCATTAAATTAAGGTTAATTTCTAAATTGATTGGAATCATCTTAGAAATTATTTTCAACTAAGTTATATTATTAAGGTGATTTAAAGTTTGCCGTCTTTTATTATTGTTTTAATTATTGAATCTATTAAGGTTATTATTGAAATTGTAATTAAGAAAGAGATTAAATTTAATTTTATTCTTCATTCTTTTATAAAATATCATCAAATAATTCAATTAATTAATTATTCTATTTATTTTAATTATCTTAAATTTATTGAAATTCTATAATAATATTTTAAGTCTCTTTTGGTTTTTCCTAAATTAATTGCAATTATATTTCATTTTATTATATGAATTAGTATTATTAAGAAGATTAATCCTAATTTTTAGTATTTTATTAAGAATTTAGATTTGATGAATCATCTTTATTTTCGACTTCTGATTCAACTTAATATTATTGATGTGAATTAGGTGAATCTTATGATAATTCATGATTAACCGAGATACTTTAATTAATAATAGGATTTTATCTTGAATCTTTCATTTCCTATTATTATTAATAGCTACTTAAGAAATCTCTATCACAAGGACTTCTTTGATTAGCAGTACTCTTTTGTCTGTCTTCATCAAATTGATTAGATAATCTTAGATTATTATCATCTTCAAATTTCTGTTCTGTTTTATCTTTTACAGAATTGTTGAATTCATTAATATCAGGTTCAATTTAGTTTTCATCATATGAACAAAAACTTTAATTACCATAAATATTTTCATTTTATGAATTATCTTGATTAAAATCATCAAGATCATTAAAATATTTCATATTCTTAATCTTTTATTATTGTAATTTCATCTATTCTTCTTTTAGTTTAGATTTTAATTATTCCATAATTGAACTTTATTTTATTGCTTATAATTCTTTCTTTTCTTTAATGGATTCTAAGTATTTCTACTATTCCTCTTTATATTATTATATTTATAAGTCTTATTTTTATTTATCCTTAATTTCTAAAGCTAAGTAATTATCAATATCAATTCTACAAAGAGGACATTATTTAATTTTCTAACTTATCATAATATGATCAGCACAGACAGAACAAGTACACATATGTTTACAAGGCAATAGAACAGTATTAATCATATTATAAAAACAAATTACACATTCTTTATCCTAGATAGTATTTGGATTCCATTCAGGATTGAATAATGTATTTTATACACCATAAAGTTCATGTATTTCAAAAAATCGACTTTTATGTATGAGAATTTATTTTGTATTAATCAATTCACATTAATATGTTTATTCGTTACAATCTATTCGATAAAAGTAAATTATCTGGAAGCTTTTTGAATTTAGACCTCTCTGTATATTCATATATATAAACTTACCATTTCTATTATTAGTGTATGATATTATGCATCTGGATTAATTCTCATTTTCTTAAATCTTAGAATGTCAATAATCATGAACTCTATATATTTAGTAGGAAATTAATAGTTCAATCCTGATGGACATTTAAATGATTAGGTTGTACTTGATGGCATACTTTTTTCATATCTAAAAACTTTGAATTTTAAATTTTAAACCTTTATTATTTAGCTCCTTTAGTTTCAGTAACAAATGTATGAACTATAATTTAAAAATTCACATGACAACTGAAAGTTAAATCTAACTAAATTTTATCAACAGAATCATAAACTATTTCAGCATTAATTATTTGTAAATTGAGTTTTATGATATCAACATTCCCTGATTTAGATTCCTTAATTAAAATATTAGGTGTGTCTTAAACTTAACTTTAAATGACTTAAATTTATAAAATAAAATGAATTACTTTTATCCAAATTTCTTGATATTTCTTTTTAATTTTGTAAAATATTTCCCATATTAATTTTTATGCAATAACTAAATTTTATATATTACTTGATTTAATATACCTAAATCTAGAATTTATCTTAAAAAATTACACAATTTAAGATAATCTTTTAATTTATTCTATACAATCCTCTTTCTGGAACTTATTATTATAAATATTTGAAGAATGTATTAATAATTGAAATCCAAATTTAACATTTAAATTAATAATTAAACATCCTGAACTTTATCTTATGTCTTGAACAATTAAAGATAAAAAATTTAGTTTGTTCATATAAAGTAAAAAAATTTATTTTCAATAGAAAATTTAGATAATATTATAATATCAAAATACCATTTCTCTGATTACCTTAAAAGTTCAATAAATTACATTAATATTAAAGATCTCATTCTTAATTTAGAGAAACATAAACTGAAATTAAATAATTAGATCCTAAACTATATTTCTAATAAATTTTTATTAAACCTATGAATTTGTTATTTAATTCTTATAAAAAGACTATTAATTAAGAACATGTACAATCTTAATTGAAGGATAGATAAGATATATTGAAAATAAAGAAATAATGTTGAGTTTAGTAAACAAATTAAGAAATTACAAAATATTAAAAAGGATTTCAGAATAGATTTTCTTAATTTAAATAAGTATGCATACTTAATTAATAATATCTAGCTATTTAACACAAGAATTAGAAGAATTTATGCTCACCTTTACATAACTTAAAGAAAGCGTTAAAGAATTGAATATAGAAATAGGCCAATATTAAAATGAAGTAATTGATTTCAAAACAATTTTAGAATGTTTAGATTATGATATTTGGATATAATTAAATATATTTATGAAGATTCATAATGATTTAACTAAAAAAATTAAACTCGAGTATGAGTTGTGATAAATATTTAAAATGAAGTCAGTCTTATAATTTTGAAGTATTATAATTAATGAACATTTAATATTCTTTCTTGCCTAACTATCAGTTCTAAAGGATTATAGGACATGGAACTTTCGGATATGTGTTTGAAGCTTATGATAGAACCAATGACAAGAAAGTTGCTATTAAAAGAATCTAAAAAATTTCTAAACAATTAAGTAGAGAATATGAAATACTATTATTACTCAAAGGATCTCCAAACATCATTCAAATAGAAGTATAATATCTTATATATATATAGGACATATATTTGTCTTAAACTGACGAAGGAATAAATGTTCAAAATATTATCTTTGAATATAAGGATTTCTCCTTAGAAAACATTTTAGCTTAGGCTATAAGAAATAGATAGTTCTTACAACCAAATCAAATTAAAAGTTTAATGAGATAAATCATAGTAGGATTATGTAGTTTATCTGCTAAAGATGTAGTTCATAGAGATCTAAAACCGTAATTTTAATAATTATTTTAAGTGAAAATATTCTAGTTGATAAGGATGGTAATTTAGTATTATGTGATTTTGGGAGTGCAAAAGTAATTGATCAACGTGGAATGAATACTTCTTATGTAGTATCCCAATATTATAGAGCTCCTGAACTTATTTTATCTCATACAAATTATGGAGCTGAAATAGATATCTGGGGTAAATAAATAGATTCTTAATTTAAGCTGCTGGATGTATTTTTTCAGAGATGATGGACTTAAAAGTATTGTTTGAAGGTAAAAATGAAGGAGATCAATTATATTGCATCTTCTAAACATTGGGAAGTCTTAAAGATATTGAGATGATATATTTATTTCAATATTAGTCTTATAACTAAGAAATACAAAAGAGATTCAAAGGATATGAATAGAAGGATATAAAGTTTTGGTTAAACAAGTTCTCACATATTCCTAATAATGAACTTGCAATTGACCTCTTATTGAAAATGCTTTAGATAAATCCTAGAAGAAGAATAACAGCTAAGGAAGCTTTGTAACATCCTTACTTTCAGCCTTGAACAATATATGTATGTATATGTGCAATTACTGATATTTAAAATAATATATTGTAAAGGTCAAAATTGTAGATAAATAGTTTTTTTCAATAAGGAATTTGACTATGTTATTATGGATAGATCTAGGATATCTGTTTATCCAATTTTTATCTTGCCAATTCCAACATTAAATTTAATTCATCTTAATTCATTCTTAATCCATGATCTTCTATATTTTAATGATCTTTATCCATTACTTTCCATTCGAACTAAAATTTAGATTTATATAATTACTATTACAATCAGTTCAAAAATATTGAATATCAAAATTATGACTAATATTATACAAACCAAACATCCAATAATTGTAATAATAAAAGATTCAATCTATGATCTCATTGATTCAATATTTAATGAAATTAGAATCATTGTTGCTACTATTATACTAGCCAATATAACACCTGAAGACATCAACCAAAATAATTTATTAAATTTTAAAGGATCTTTTAAGGATTTCATTAAACTGTATTCTTTGTATGTTTTAATTACATATTAGAATCTACAAAAATCACATTATAATCTTTTAATAAATTATCTTCTATTGAAATCCATATAATTAACTTCAATTTCATTCTATACACATTTTTAATGAGCATATTATTATGATGCTTTACATTAGCAAGGTCTAATTAAATGTGCAGACCAATCTTATTCATTACAAAATTTGCATTGTCTCTCCTCAAATACTTTTACTTAAACCTCTTAAAACTCTTAACCATTTATGTTTTTATTTGATGTACTTTATTCATTTAATGAATCTTATTATCTATGTGAATTTGTTCTATTTTTAAATGTAATTCTTGGATTAAATTTAGGATTCTATCTGTTTGCTTATTATGGAGTTTTATATAAACTATTAGAACAATCATAATCAACAGGAGTCATATAAAATGGGTTATTTTATAATTCTATATCTGTTTCATTATTATAACTTCTTTTTATTGTAGAAGCATTAGGAGACAAAGCCTATCCTATAAAATCTCGTTGAGTTTATTCCCTTGTTGGTTTCTCTTTTATAACTCTAATTTAATACTATACTAATATACTCTAAATTTATTTCTTATTGTTAACTTCCCATAAAACTAAATGGAATTCTACAAGTTCCTGTAGGAGTAATTCGAAAAGTTTCATTTGCCATTATTAATTTAATGATAGTAATCTCATTAAATTTCAGTATTTTTGAATTTAACTAGAATTTTAGTCAGAAATTAGTGAAAAACTCATTATTTTTAGTAGTGAATAAATAAATTAAAATAATTTAAAATTATATAAAACAATTAAAAATTATTGTCAATTTTTTAAATTATATCTCAATAATTAAAATAAAGATCCTTAAGTTAACTATTCTACAATCTAAATAATTTAAACAAACAAATACAATTATAAATACATGCGTATATAATCTGAATAAATTAAATATTTTATAATGTAAAGATGTAATTGAGAATTTTTATTATGTTTATCTTTTCAATATGATTATGTATTTAATTTTAACTTAAAATAACATAATAATAATTAAAAAACAATCAAACTCACATTCATATTTTCTATTTCATATATTAGCATTATGTTTTTTATTTATATTGTTTTGTAAATTTGATAAAATAAATTTTGATAATTTTATAATCAATTTGATTAAGGAAATGAATACATATAATGTAGTTAGTTTTGATTTTACTCGAAAGGATGGATTAGTAACAGTAAAAGTGAGACGCAATATAACAAATTAAATAAATACAGTTTTAATATCAAAAAGAAAGAATTATTAATTGGTAAAGGAAAAATATAGATGTCTTAAAAGTGATATTTAAAATCTCAAAGCTCTTTTAAAGAGACCTTATAATGTGAGAGAATTTAAAGAATTTTATAGAATATATGGACCTAAATTAATAGAAATAGATTTTGGTTTTATTGAATTATTTAATCTAAAAGTAAAAAAATATTAAATCAATAATAGGGAGAAAACTAGTTTTCTATAGAGGAAATTTATTAATTTAAAAAAGGTGTAAATTTTATGAGATGGGGAAAATTGTTTACAATATCTCAACTTGAGAGATTTAAGGATGGTTCATCAGTGCAAGATTAAATAGTTGGATTACAGTAAGAATTTATATAAAATATTAGATTTTATAATATGCTTGTAAAGGAAAGAATATATACTTTAAGAACATTGCATTATTATAAGAATGATGTTGAAAGAAAAAAATTTCCTTATTAATTCTTATATATTTATGATTTAGAAGATAGCCTATAAATTAATTTATCATCTTTTTAGGAGTATTTATCGTAAGTTTAAAATGAAATAAATACAAAAACTAAATAGTAAGAATAACAATTGCCATCATTGAAAATTCAATTTTTTAAAAAATAATTTCAAAATTTTAAATTTTAAAACATAATAGCTCCTTTTTTCTAATTAAAGTTTGATGAATAAAAGTTGATATAATTATTTTTTATTCATTTCAATTAGAGTGGCTATCAAATTAAAAATTATTAAAATAGTAATGATGAATAATTAGAAAAAAAAGAATTATTAAAATATAAATGTTATATATTTGTAAATCATGATACTACATTTTATTCTTATGAATAATTAAGGAATGGTGCTATAGAATTTGCAAATATTCATGATATTACTATATCAAACAGCGATATCTTATTTATTAATATTAAAAAGTAATTCAAATTTTTTTATTAAGTTAAGAAGATAATTTTTTGGAGGAATATGTAAAATACATTGAATCAGAATTTTTTTTACCAGAAATGTCAATTGAGAGATAAATGAATTATATATTTAATGAATTACCCAAAGAGATTTCTAAAAAGCCATTTAATTGTATTTTAGATGAAAAATTCATTATTCCATAAAATATTTAGAATATAATGAAGTAGTTATCAGGTGAATTAAAATGAAACATAATATTTATAAGTATTATTTTTTTAATTTATAATAATAATAATTAATTACCAATCTAAATAAAAAAATATAATTATTTTTTTGATTTTATATCATTCTTTAGTCTCAAAAATTTAATTAATTTCAAACAAAAAATTATAATGTTTATGGAAGAGCTCAAAAGAACTGATTTCAATAATAACTATCACTCTAGAATAGATACATAACCTTAATAATAAGAGTGCAATTAATTTTTATCGAATGATTGTGATTTTGAAAGTCCCTTAAAAACAGAAAAGTCTAATATATAAATAAAGATTGAGAAAGAAGTATACACAAATGAAGAAATGAAAAAATTTTAAAGAGAAGGAATATTCTCATTAATAGGAGGAATATTAATTCATATAGAACTTGGAACAATTTATATTTGGACATCAATAAGTAAAATTATTAATATAACAAAGGTCCTTATGTGGCAGCTTGGATGAAAATTAAAGATTTTCTTGTTACACTTAATTTAATATCCATAATATTCCCTATATTAGTGATACTAACCATTTCAGTTTTTTCTTTTGGTATAAAAATAGCTTAAAAAGTGGGATTCAAAATTACAATAGGTTGTGGATCATTTATAATATCATTGGCATTTTTAATAATTTCTTTTGCATAAGATATAAAAGTATTTATTGTAATTTATTGTATAATGGTTGGCATATCTGGAGGTTTATTGTTTATGCTTCCAATTATATGTGGATGGAGATATTTTCCAAATAGAAGAGGATTAGTATCATGTTTTATTATTGGAGGGTATGGATTTGGATCTTTTATATTTAATTTTGTATGCAAAGCAATAGTAAATCCATAAAACTTAGAACCTTCTATCCCATATAAAGAAGAATTTATATTAGCTAAATATTTTGATAGAAGTGTAGGAGAAAGGGTTCCTTTGATGTTTCAAATTCTTGCTGCATCTTATCTTGGTTTAAGTATAATAGGAACATTGATGATAAGATTTCCTAAAGATATAGATCCAGATAAAATGTTTGCAACCTTAGAAGCATTAGAATCATAGAAAAATAAGGAAAAGAAATATCAAATATTATCACTAAATAATTTGTCAGCTCATAGAGAAGGCTATATTGTGTAAGATTATTTATAAATATATTTAGAACTTAAGGAATTAGCATTTAATCATGTATTTTACTTTAATTAATAGTTGTAATGTCATGTACCTTAGGAATGTTTATAATAAATTGCTATAAATAATTTGGCGTTGAAAATGGATTTGATGATTCTCTATTAACTGCTACTGGTTCAATAGCTGGAATTATGAATTTTTCTTTAAAAATTTTTTGGGATACTTTAACAAATAAAACATCTTTTAAATTCACTTTTACTATAATTTCATTTCTAAATTTAGTTGCTTTATTAATTTTACATTACAATACTAGTGGAATTGGATATTTGTTAATTATAGGCGTTATTTCTTTTGCTGAAGGAGGCTTATTAGTAACTTATCCAGTAATATGCGATAAAATATATGGTAAGTAAATTGGAAGATTGATGTATAGAAAAGTATTCTTTATGGTTGGAGTAAGTAATATGATTGGATATATATTATATGCCTTTGTTAGAAAGAAAATTGGATGGGAGAAAGTTTATTGGATATGTTTTGCAATGAATATTGTAGGATTAATTTTAGTATTCTTTTTGAAGGAAGTTGGATATGATTGGAGTGATCCTGAGAAAATTAAAAAAAAATCAGTAGTTTATATAAAAAGTAATTTATAAATATGATAATAAATTTAATTTATATCTTGACTACTAATATGTCTTTATATAATCTTATAAATTTAGGAGTAGTGATGATAAAAATTAACTCTTGAATTTATTAAATTATCCATATTCTTGATATCAAATTGTTATTAATTTTTATCTAACATTTTTTCTAAAGATGTTCTATTATTTTTAGATATTTTTTATTATTTAAATTCTAATATTTTTATAGATATTCAAATAAATCTTTTTGTAAACATTTATTAAATAATTTTATATTTTATTATCTAAAATATATACTTAGAATTTAACTATTTCATTTTAAATCAAATCTAGAATTATTTGAATTATATGATTAAAATATTGCTTAAACTTTAATAGTTTTACCTTAAATTTTGTACTTTCTATTTATGTTTAATCTTTTAATTTAAATGTAATCTACAAGGTTTAAGATAGTAATAGAGATTAAAAACAAACTTAATAACTCTAGATTATCTATCAAATTATTTTGCAATATTTTATAGCAAATGATTCATCTTATTATTATTATAGATTTTATGTGATTATGTTTATTAATACGAAAATTAATATTAAAAATGGATAAAAATGTTGATTCCTAATTCACTTCCACTTTTTGGAGATAAATTCATGAAGAATATTTTATGATAGAAGCACCAGTTTCTTTGAGCAATCTAATAAAGCAATAGAAACAAAGTAAATTGTTAATTACTAATTTTAGTTCCTAATAATGTTAACTAGTAAGCAAAAGAATTGATACAAAAAGTCTTAAAACTATCTAAGAGGAAAAAAAGTAGAATTGAATAATTAAATGAATCTAATTTAATGCATCGTTTGCATCTAATATTGATGTAAAGAGAATAATCATCCGAGCCAATCAAAAAATTGATTGATGAAATGGTTGATAGGATTTGTGAAGATAAACTTATTACAGAACTACATAAATGCTCAAAATTGATTAAAAATATTCATTTGCTACCAGAAGAAAAACAAATTGATATTTATTATTAAGAAGAATAATAATTATAAAGTTTGCATTACTAAATTGATTGGCCTGATTAAATAAGTTAAGTAATAATGGAATTAGAAAATGATTTAAATTAAGTACAATAAAAAAATACTTAAAGTATTGAAAGGTATTCATATTTATATTATAGTAGCTTATAAACACATGTTTTAGAAATTAATTAATCATTAAGATATCAATACAGTATTTAGAAAATAGGAGAGTTTACACTAAAAATTAATAGAAATAAAGTTTAACATCATCAAGAAGAATTAGATTATCTTTATAATTTGATTTAGATGTATGAAGATTACTAAGTTGCTGAAAGTATTGCAAAGGTTATTTATAATTAACTAAGTATATATTAATTTCAACTTAATAGATAATAAGTTTATTATAATTTTAGATAGGTATCTAAGTCCAAATCCTATAGAACTTAGCTAATAATAATTCGAATCTCTTTAAAGATTGAGAGAAATTCCTATAAATTTAACAGAGTAGGAATAAGAATCTCATTTAAATAAATACAATTAAGATTTTGAGATGTGTCATTATTGTAGAAAAATGATAGATAAAAGTAAATAAAAGTAATGTACTTATAATCATGTCTATATGAATTTACATTAATACAATGATGAATTACTGAACTAATAAAGATATAGCATATCAAATAAGGACATGTAAAAGTTTTATTAAGACTTATATTCTGCAAATTATATAATAGAAAGTATATTTATATAATGAATATTAGATGATTAAATTTAATGTTAAAAGTATTTCTGTTATAAATGCTTAAGAAATGAATTTGATGAATATGATATTTATGATAAAGAATGGATATGTCCATTATGCAAAGTATACATATTTATTAAATTTAGGGCTTATGTTTATGTATTAGATGTTAACGAAATGACGTTATTTATAAATTGAAACGAAATTTATTAGAGATAAATGGAAATTTAGATTTATTATATGAATAATCTCTTTTTGAATAATTAGTTAGTCATAAGAGGAAGTTAATATAAGATATTTCTCTAGATTTTATAAATATCTTAAAAGTGACTTCAGAAACAGAAGAAATATTAACATCAAAAATTTGTAAAAAAAAAATAAAATTAAATATCACTAAACAAATTAAAAAGAAAAAGAATTCTGATACAATTTTGGTTCTACCAAATTATATCAATAATATTGATAGTTCATCTTAATCAACGAAAATTAAGAAAAAAAATAAATTTAGAAGATTAATTCCTAATGATACAATAACTGAACTATTATATGAATATATTTCTTGAAATTTCAAAAATCTATTTATAATATTAATTTATCCCATTTTTAACTAGAGTTTACATCACTAATAAATCCTAAAATAGCAAAATATATAAATATTTATCACTTAATAGATTTTCAATAAATTAATTAATGAATCCTTAAATTTCTATCTTTAATTCTAATTTTTTTGTCATTATTTTTTATATCTAAGTACAAAATAAAAGTTTATATTAATATTCCCTCTTAGATAGTTAAAAATTATTACTAATGTTCATAAATTTATACTCATAAATCAATTAATTTAAATGATATAATAAGTATGAGGATAATAGTATTATAAAAATATAAAGTAATAGAGAATCAAGGTCTCCTATAAGGTTTCTTCTAACTCTCTGTAAATGATAATTTCATTTTACTTAATTTCTCTTTTTGTTATTGTATTTCTAATCTCAATTCATCAATTGTTTTCTCTGTATTATCAATTTGTTATATTTATTTATTTGGAGTCTTAATTCCAGTACTAATAACTGTACTACTACAATTAAATTATTTATTTGCTAAATTTATATTTTTATAATACATGTTAACATTGATTATTTTTAAAATGGAGATTTATGGGTTATTTTATTTGGTGATATTTATTTTTAAGGTAGTTAAATTATATTCTCTAATTGGTTAATTTGAAGTTAATAATCTGATTGAATTTATTCCATTTTTTTATCCTATCTTTATTTAAGATCTTGATATCTTTATTCAAAGTATTACCTTTCTCTATTCATAGTTTATTCTGAAAACTATTATTAAGATATTCTAAATTAAATATAAATATTTACAATTCTTCCTATTATTCTTTAATTAATTTATTAAGATTATATAATTCTAATTCATAATTTTATTTTTATTCAATTTACAATTATTCTTAAAGTAATAATTATTTCTATAATTCTTCATTTTCCCTATTTAATAATTAAATTTGATTTTGTAATTCTATATCATTAGTTTTTGACATAATAAGTTATTCAATTTATTATTATTTTTATTTCAATTTTAATTAGCCTTCCTCTTATAATAATAATTCCTATTATTTAAATTATTATTTGAGATTTTCTATTTTTTATTCTATATCTTAATTCATTTATTCAATTTCATATTCCTTCTCTGCTTCTATCATTTATATTTTATTCTCAGTTATAATTAATTGCTATTTATATAAACTTTATAATATTATTTTGCATTCACTTTCTACTTGTTTTAATTTATTTACAAACATATTTTTAATTTCCTAAATTTGTATATTGATTAATTCTCTTTGTCTATTTAATACACGATAAATTCTTTATTTAAATGTTTTTTGCTTAAATAATGCTTCCTCATATTGTAATTAAATCTAATTCTTTTCATTTAATATTTAATTTATTATTTATTTTGAATCTTCAGAATTAAATTATTCTCTATTTAATAAATCATTAATATCTTATTTTGCTGCTATTAATTCTTCATTAATTTTTTCAAGATCTTAAGCTAGTTCTTAATTTTATATTTATAAAAGTTCTTATTAATTGTTACTTTCAATTTGATCCTTTTATAATTCAATAATAGTTTTATTTTATTCATCTAACTTTTATTTGAATTCATTCTTTTATTTTCTATTCTCCAATTATTATTCTGAAAGTAGTTTTTATAATTTATTGTTTTCATCATTAAAATATTCTTGTAATAATTTCATTTTTTATTCTTTTTCTTAAATCTCTAAATTTAGTTATTCTTTTATTTTTTTTAATTCTTCTTATTTTTGTGATTATTCATCCCTTAATTGCTTCAATTTCTATTCCACTTTTTAACCCAATTTTTAATATGAAAAACTTCCTGTAATTTCTATTTATAATCCATCAGAAATTTATTAAAATAACTTTTAATATTATTATTTCTCTTTCTCGAAATCATTTAATTAATTTTGATTCATTTTTAAAGTATTACTAGTTTATTCTAAAGTTAGTTTAATATCTTCTAACTCTAATAATAAATTTTTTAATTTTAAGTCCTTTTTTGAAATCTCTAAATCTAATTCCCTGTTTTATTTTTCAACTTCTTCTCCATGTATATTTAATTACTATATTTCATTTTACAATTATATAACTTACTACTATGAATGTTGACATTATCTTTGCAAACCATCAAATTCTAAATTATATTAATAGAACTTTTCTTTTATTTATTTAAGTTCTTTGTTTTAGTCTTATATCAACTTTTCTTTAGATATAAGTAATTATTCATATTTAATTGTTAAATTATCTTCTATAATTTATTTTTCATTTAAAAATTGTATTTCTATTTCCTAAAATTAGTTTTTAAACTATTGTTCCAATGATTTTGTAGATTATTTATGATTTAATTGTAATTAATTTAATTAATTTTCAGATTCCTTAATTTATTCTTAAAATTCTTCTAATTATTGCTACTAATATAATTGTATATTCTATGCTTAATTTAATTTATTTTTTAAATCATTAATTTTATAATTACTTTTTTCTTTTAATTAATCTAATAACTCTTTAGATTTTTATTAATCTTATAATTTTTTACTTTTTAATCTTTCATTTTCATTTTTTAATTATTCCATTTCTTAATCTAGTTCAACATTAAGATCAATATATTACTAAGATTTTTTTTTCAAATCTGATAGTTCTTTTAGAACCTTTTCAAATTCAATTTTAAAATCTCTATTTTACCTGTCTAATTATTGATTTAATTAATTTAATGCTTCATTTTTTTATCTGTATTCATTTATATCTGAACTCATTGATTTATTTCGTTAATCAATCAATTAAAGATTTTCTTTTATTCTTATATTTTCATTTTGTAATTATATCTCTCTGTTTTACATGTCTTTTAATTATTTATTAAGTTTCTCATTTTATGATTGATATTTCTAATTTTAATTAAATGAATACCTAAAATTAGGATTCTTGAGCTTCAAGTAAATCTTAAAGATTTTGAATTTCTCTAATTTATTATAATTAAAACTCTCTTTGTTTAGAATCAAAATCTTATTAAATTCTTTGTTCTCTTTCTAAAAATTCCCTTCTAATTGAATCATTTAGAGCTTATTCAGATCTAAGTTCTGCTTACAAATGATGGATCTCATCTGTAAATTATTTAGAAAATGCTTCAAGAGTGATTTCTTTTATTCTGCTAAAGATGATGTTTTTTGAATCTCTATTTGATTCAATAGTAGAGTCAAGTAAAATTTTGGAAGAAATATCCATAAGACATTCTAAATATAAATTTTAGTTTGATACATTCCAATAATGATTGACTACTGAAGAGCTTTGATGATGTTAACATATTTAACTTATTCAAAATATATATATAAATCTGTTATATTGAATATATATAATAAAAAATAATATTATGAAATCTCCTACTTATATTTTAAAGAATGCATATTAAGAACATTTGGTTGAATAATAATATATCAAACATGTTTCGAAGATATAAAATATTACAGCTAATCTTTAGGTGAGTTAGAGTGAATAAGATTAAATGAACAAAGTATGAGTATTTTAATAAATAATAACTTTTTAGATTAAATACTATCGTTAATAGAAGGAAAGGACTCGTAAATTTATGGAACAGTAAACTCAATTGTTTAGATAATAATCGGATAATATATTAGCAAAAAAAATGATTACAGCAGATTCTAAAACTAGAAGAGTTCATGAATAAAAGAATGTAAAGTCTTTAATTGCAACAGCTCAAAAATAATAATCATATGAAATAGGATTAGAAAATATAAGATTGGGAAAAAGAATTTTGCATTTACCATCTGTAATTAAGAAAAAGGAATTTGATAAATCTTATGCTAAACATGAATAAAATATGATGTATGCTAGTAGAATGAGAAATTAAAATAAATCTAAAACTCCTTCTAATAAATTAATAAAAGATTGTGGACCAATATTTACAGAAGTGCCAATTTCATTTAAATTAGTAGTATTTAACAAAGAAGTAAATTTATTATTTATATTATATATATATAGTTATAAAATAAAGATTAAAAGACAGAATGTTTATATTGTGTTGAAGCATATTTAAAAGATTAATTATTACATAGAACAGGTAATTTAATTTATTTAATTTAGATTCTGTGGCATTTGATTAATTCTAGCAATTAAATTTTAAAGTACCTATGAATAATTAATAATTTGAAGAATATTAGAATGATCCATTAATATTAAAGATTTGGAAAATAAAAAATAATAGTGAATTATATATGGGACAAATATTTGTAGGATTTAATGATTAATTAAGTGAAAAGGATTTAATGAAGAAAGTAAATGATAGAGAAATTTGGAATGGTTTTATTTAATTATGAAATTTTTATGAAGAATTGATTTTAATTAAATATTAATTTATATTAAAATGCTACAAATATCACATCAAATACCACCAGAAATAAATAGAATAAGATAATTGGTAATAGGATTGAATTATGTTAGATTTGTAAAGCAGGTGATGATGGAGCTGATACATTTAAAAAGGATCTATAAAAAATAGTTGATATTTTAGGGGAATATTATTAATAAAATAAATAAGAAGTCAAAGATGCAATGATATAATCATTCATTTAATGTGCAAAATTGTTACCACTCAAAGCTGGAATATATGCTACAATATTAGCATTATTATCAACTAAATAAGTATTTATCAATGAAGTCAATATTTTAATTAGATAACACAATCCTTGACAGACTAAATTATTCTTGGATTACTTGAACATCTTCCCTAAATAGCCTAAGAAGAAACACCTATATTAGGATAAACTATCCTTAAATTTCTAAGTGAATTAATGAATGTAGGTTTGCTTAATACAGTGAGTTTTGTAGAATGTTTGTATGATTTAGAAGGAGGTGCTGAAAATGAATAATCTCCATTTTATTTACAGATATTGTTAACAACATTACCACATGCTATGATTAAAGCTATGGAAAAGAATTAGATTGAATTCAAAAATATTATTTAAAATGTTGAAGTATTAATGACAAAGAGAAAAACAGAAGATAGATTATTTCATTTATGGTAATCAATAAGAAATTTTTTAAATAATTAAGAGAAAGATGCTCATACATAAATATTTTAATAATTTTTAAAAACTTCTTATCCTAGACCTTATTTGTTATTTCCTGATGAAATGACATAAGTTAGACAATTAAGAAGAGGATTCAAGATCCCAATTGTTAAAAGAACTTAAATTTGGAGACCTTAATAAATATTGGTTCTTAATGATGAAATTAGATCTCAAGGTAACAATAAAACTGATGTTTAAATTGAAATTACTAGATAATGGATCTATGAAACTATTGATCTATTTAAGACTAATCGATAATAAATTGTATTTCAATTTTAATTATACTCAAATTGTATAAAAATGTCACCATCATAAGAGTAATTGATATTATATTAATATTAATAGAGCTTAATTCAGATAAACATTAATTTTCACATTATTAAATATGGTAATTGAAGTTGTTCCAAGAAAAGACTAATTATCTACTGCATTTTATAGTGGTCTTCTAATTCATTTAAGTTAAAGAAATTCAGATAATATAAAAGAATGGAATGAAACTATAGAATAATTCATAGATTAAATTCCATAAAATAATATCTTGATTATTGAATAATTAAGTGATTGTTTATCCCATTACTTTTGTAATTCAAATTTTAAATTGAATTGGGATAAATATTTTGGAAAATACAATCCAGATGAAACAGATAGTTTTAATAATTATTTAGTTATTATGATATTTAGAAAACTATTTTTATTAGTTAGTGTTGAAAAGATTACAGATTTAGTACCAAAGAATATTATAGATTGGTATAATTAATTATAGGATATAACTAAACCTATAGATATTGAATAACATAGTTTAGCAGAGAAAATTAATACATATTTATAATAAAAATTGAATGGAATTGAGATGTTAGAATAATTAAAATTAATTACAAATCCAAATCCAGATATTGTTATTCAAACATTTTTAGAATGTTTATTATAATGTATATCTAAATCAATCACTCACTTGAATGTCTTAAGTAAAAGATATCTCTCATTTTTGTTATAACCAAATATAATTAAACCTGAAAAATTAGGTGAAATAATGCTCAATACAATTTTTAAAATGTGGAATCATTCAGTTTTTCATTTAAAGGTATATCTAAAGGAGTTTTTGAATTTAGAAGTTATTAATAATTTATAAATAATCAATTGGTTAAATGATATAATTAAATAAAAACCAGAAGTATATTTTTATATATATAATTAAGCCCTTTAAAATTTATAATATCTTTATTGCAATAAATGATGTTTTCAGAAAATAGACAAAATTAGATTAAGTTTAAGATTGTACCTACGAGAATGTTAAGGAAATAAACACTATTTTGACAAAAATGATCGAATAAGAGCAAGGTTATTATCATTTTTAATATAAATAGATGTCATTATCTAATCAAGTTTAGAAAACATTTAGCTCTAAATATTGATTGCATTTAAATAAACTAATAGTACCTAATCAGATAAGTTATTAAAAGAAATCAAATCAACTAATGTTAAATAAATTGTTATGTCATTTTGAGTTTATATGCATTTAATAAAATAAATAAAATCTATTCATTATATTTCAATATGTAATTATTTGAATATATTATTATTTCATTTTTATAGCATTTAATAAAAGGTATTTGTTTACTTTTGTTGATTAAATCTTCTTCATTGTTAATTAGAATTAAAGTTTCAAATTATTAGCCTAATTACAATTCTTTTCTTTTGATATATTTTTCGTGTTAATTGAGATTTGTCTAAATTTGAATTCTTTTTTTTACAATATGAATGTTTAAATCTAAATAAAGTATTTAATTATTGAATTTCTACTGTGTTTTCTTAAATGAAGATCGAATTTAACTAATACTTTTAAATTTGAAATAGAATTTAAGAATCATTATTGATAAAATAGTTATTTTTAGGACAAAAGGATGATGGAAAAATTAAATTGATAAGTATTATTAAAATCTACACATAAATTTATACTAAATAAAATATTGTATTAATATGGGATACATCAACTATTCTCACTTTATTAAGAAAATCCCTATTCAGGAGCAATTTAATTAAATTTAGGCTCTATAATAAATTAACCTTGTTAATTTTGATTCAATTCTTGAGCTTCTTCAGGATGAACTTTATTTCCCTTTTTGATATTAGTCTCACTGTTCTCATTATTAGCGCTTTAAACAGTTGAACAATTAGGTAGTGGGCCACATATAAGACAGATAAAATAGTACATTATAAAAATGCCCTAGGCCAAATATATAACAATTATTTTTAAAAGTTCGAAACCTTTGGAATATTCAAGCTAATCAAAATCATAGATACCAGAAGCCAATTCAGTAACTATACATTATGAATTTATAAAGTTAATATAATTTTCTTTATATTTATCCCATTTAATCAAATCTTAAAGAATAAATGAAACAATTGTAATGTGAATAGATATTTAAAAAATTCTTTAAATAAAATTATAAAGAATATTTTGTTTACTTTTTTATGAAAATATCTTGAGCAATTTTACAATAATGTATTCAAAAAGAAAAGGTATGAAATTTAGTGTCAACATTAAAATTGGTATAATTAGAAATTAATTAACTTATCTTAATGTTTTAACATTTTGAAGATCTATTTTTCTGATAAAATTTTCATATTCTGAAATCACTTCTTCTGATCCAAATTAACAATTTTCTTTAATTTAAGCATAAGATTTAATTCTTAAAGTCCAAATGACAGAGCTATTCACTTTAAAATAAGTTAATGAACGATTTAAGACCAATAAATTATTTGCTAAATAAAATTGATCTTCATTAATTTAATAAGCTTTTTTAAATTAACTATCATACTCCTCACAATTTTATCTTTAAATTTTCATCAAATAATAATCAGATCTATTAGGAGATATATTATTTTCTGAATTTAATTTACAAACATTTTCAGTTTCTGTAATTTAAACTTAAGAAATAGGTATAAGAGATTAGTTCTTAGTATAATAAAACTAAAGCTAATTTGAAACATTGAATATTTTCCCATATTTAGGGTCATTTTTTAACTTCAAATTTTAATAATTAAGGTCGCTGGTAAAACCAATTTCTGAAATTGGACATTCTACTTCTGGTGGTAGACAATATGCTAATGCACCAGTTCCACATATGGTTTTATTTATTAGTGAACAATAAGTGAAATTATATCTTAATGATATATTTTAATTTCTTTTTGCACATAAAAGAAATGCTAAATATACAAATTATCACTTACGTTTAGAATAATTGTTATCATTTAATAATGTTAAGTTTTTCTCCTAAATTTCATATAATTGCTTGCATCCTTTATCTAATTCCTTTTGGTCACATTACTTTTTTTTATGAAAATTATTTGTAAACTCTGTAAAATTTTAAATAGATTTGGATGGTAAATTTTAAGTACAATCACAACCAACAAAAGTGCCTGGCCATTAGTAATTGAAGAGCGGTTCATACTAAAATTATTTTATATTTAATTACCTATGATGGGCATTGATAACTTGTATCAAGAGAAATGATGTCTTCAATAATTCCTTGACTTTGATTCAAAATAAATTAATCATAAAGATCTTCACTTGGATATTTAATAGAATAGATCCATAAAAGATAAAAAATAAGTAAACTTATTAAATTTATGATCCCAATGCATACCGCATATTAATCCTTTTGTTTTTTACCTTTTTCCTATGATCTTCTAACTTTCAAAAAGTTTATTACAAATTCCAATTAACCCTTAAATAGTTTTAAGAATGATGTGTAGCCGTATTTTGGTTGGAACTTTTTATTGTTGAAAGCTTTATTTTATATGATTTTATTTACTTCTTAATTCTGTCTCTTCCAAGTATTCCAAAACTTATTTAATAGTTTCATCTGTTTGAGCCATAATCAGGACTAAGATTTGCTAAAATATATTAAATATAATAATTTTTTTTATATTCTAATACATTAAATAGACATTAATCATATCTAAGGTTCCCTAAATTAATTAATCCTATATAAATGTGCAATATTCACTCTGAATATAGGAAGGAAGTGAAAAATTAATTAAAATAACAGAGATTTCTTCAAAAATTAAGTCTGCAAATCATCAAAATTTATATATCTATATATAAATACATAATAAAATGATATTCAATTATCTTTTTTAACATTTCAATAAAAGTAGTTAATAAATACATTAATAGAATATTATAAAAGATGTTCAATAGATTTTAATATTTATTATTAAAATCTAAAATTTCGATTTAATTGATTATTAATTCTAAAATCTTTTTAGATTTGTGAGGACTTGACAAAAGAACTTATTTTTTGTTTTTTTTAATTAATTTTGATACTCGATTCTACTTTCAAACAAAAAATATAAATACAATAGAAAATTAATTAAATATATAATAAAAATTAATTATCTATTGCCATTAATGGATAATCTTTAAATATCAGAAGAATAGTTTACAAACATGCAGGAGTCATTCAATGCATTTAATAAAGTTTTTGGAATTTTAATAGGTGTAAAGGTAAAACTAAAGTTTACTTAAGAAAAATAAATTAAATTTGATAGCAACAATTCTTTTGATTATTTTTGCTATGTTGCTATACATAGTATTTGTATTTCCCCTTGCTATTTAAAAAGGCTATATTATTTTAAATACAATTTGTGTTGTATATGGTTTCACACCAATCACTACATTGATTATGACAGCAATTACAGGTTTCTCATTAAATTAATTTATTAGAGCCAGGAGTAATATTAAAAAGACAAATAAGTGATAATTAATAGCCTGAAAGTAGTTTAACTTAAAGTAATGAGGATACAATTTAAATTGAAAATACTACATAACAAGATGATGTACCTAAAATTTACAGAGAGAGATTTTGTTCAACATGTAACATTTAGAGACCACCTAAAGCATCTCATTGTATATATAATATATGAATAAAAGGTCGTGAATGTAATCATTGTGTAGATGGGTTTGATCATCATTGTTATTGGGTTGGTACATGTATTGGGATTAGAAATTGGAGATATTTTGTATACTTCTTGATAGCTGCTTTTAGTGCTCCTCTTTTAGCATTCTTAGTGGGAATTGTACTTTGTATTTATCATTATAAATAACAAAGTTATAAATTCTTTTTCTTTAGCAACAACACTATGGTTTGAAATGTTCGATACTCTTGGAATATCTGTTCTAATATTTTACATATTTTATATAATTTGTGGATTTTGGCAACATAAAACTATTTTGAATGCCTTTACATTAATAATAATGATATTTGGACCTTTGCTTTTTACTTTTTCTATATTTCAAAATCGTACTCAATATTAATAGTATTATTATTATGAGAACCCTTATTTTACTCTATTTGTTTCATTAGTTATGTTAATGATTTCATGTATGTTGTTACCTATGACATCTGTAAATTGCAGTAATGCTTTATAAGTAATACTAATATTTTATTTAAGTTTAAAACAACAAAATAGATTCACTCAGAAGAGGAATTTAGAAGAGAAAAAGGATAGTTTAGATTTGGGGACAATAAGATTGAATTTAATTTAATGAAGAAAAACCTTATTTAATTCATTACCTATCATATTCCCAAAAGTAGATATCAAAATTTATGAATTGAATAAATTTTTATATTAATAAATTAATTTAATAAAATATCAACTCTATGAATATTTCAGTCAAATATAATGAATACTAAAAAACGCTTGAAAATATTGTGACATACAAAGATTTAAGGAAATAAATTAAATAGAGTTTCAAACTTATACTAAAGAATAATTTCACTATATATTATTTTGATGAAGACAATGATAAAATAACAATATCAAACTAAATAGATTTAGATGTTATTCAAGTTACACTTTCAAATTATCATTTAGACTACAGAGAATTTTTAAATTATTGTTCAAGAAATTGATAATGCCTAAGAATTAACAGACAATTCCTTTTAAAAACCTGATAAAATTGTCTAAGAAACAGTCACCTATTCTAGAAAACTTAGGAATGATCATGAAAATAATGATTCTGGTTGTCCAAATATTACAGAAAAATAAGAATAATAAGAAGTAGAGAAAAAAACTAAAAAAGGTTAAACAGCAAATAATGAATAAAAAAATTTTGAAAAATAAAGATTAAAAATAATAAAGGAATTAAATTCAACTATTAATCATCTTCGTTCAGAAATACTTAAAATTGAGAGTGATGATACAGAAAAAATAATAAATGAGAAAATATAAAATTTATAGAAAATACAGATCAATTAATCATCTCTTGCCATAGAATTATGTGAACTACCTATTATTTAATAAATTGAATAAGCTGAAAATAATATTATTAACCTTAATAAAGTTGAAAAGGATGAATTAAGAAAGAATTAAAATAAATTAATTAAATAAATTGAGAAAATCATTTCAAATAGATTATAAAAATAAATAGGGTATGTAAAATAAAATCAAGAAGTTGTTAAAACAGAAAAAAAACTTTAATAAAAGTTAATTAAGACAAAAAATAAAAATGAAAAATAGTTAATAAAATATAATTAATTATTAATCTAATATCAAAATAAACTTAAAGAAGTTGAAAACTAATAATGGAATTTTGAAAAAATTGATTATCTAAAAAATGAATAATTAGAAAAATATTTAGATAAATAAATGAAGGAAGAATTAAAGGCAAAAAAATAAAAGCGAATTGAAAATGAAAAATTGAATTAAAAACTATTCAACTTAGAAAATATAAAGTATGAATATGAGAGTGATAACTTTAATAATTCTTTTGAAATAGATTGAAAAATATCACTTCATTATTAAATATATAAAAAATTATATATTTATTTTCATATTTATAATGCAATTGCAGCTTATAAAACTGATAAAGCTTTTTCTTTGGCTATTTAAAATTTTGGCAAATTTACTGGTGATTCTAATTACCATCTATTTTTGTAATGAAGGTATTATAGGATTATTTCAAGTATGTCTGCTGTAAAATCTGAAAGAATCTGAGTTTCTCCTTTCACATCAGCATTCGATATCTATTTTCTAAAAATCTCACTTAATCCAGCTATTTCTTTGGCAACTATGAATTCAATTCCATTTGATGATAAAATAGTTATGTAAGCAGAAGACATCCTTATTAATTTATTTAATATAATTTAGATAAAGAAAGAATCAATTAAATTATCATTTTCTCAAACAATCTTCAGGATTATAACAATACTCATCTAATTATTCTTATTAATATGATTTATAATAATACCACAAAGAGTGTTATTTCTGAGTAATATGATATTTTTATGATTTTTATCCTCAATAGTATCATCTATGGATCCCTTATACCCTTTAAATCTTTTAGGATGATAGGGTGGATTGTATTTTTTTTTAAGTAAGATTTCCCAATCAAAAGTATTGAACCATGGATGATTTTTAACATCTGAAGGATTATTTGATCCTAATCTATTTTCAGGTTTTCTTTAAATAAGCTAATAAATGCAATTAAAAATATACTTAATTTATAAAATCACCAGCTTCAATTGACCAAGCAACAGGTAATTATGATTTTTTAATTTAAATTTGTTTAGATAAGATTTATTCTCTAATCTCTTGTCTAGATTTCCCAACATAAGGTCTTTTTCCAAGCATGCATTCATAAATAATAACTCCCAAAGCAAAAAAATCAACAGCAATACCATGATTTTGTTTACACATTACTTCAGGTGCCATATACCCTGGAGTTCCACTAGAGTCTTAAGCATTTTCTGGTCTCCAAATTCGTGCAATTCCCATATCTGTTAATCTAAGATATCCTTATTCATCAAAAACCAAGTTTTCAGGTTTGAGATCTCGATGAATTATTCCATTTGAATGAAGATATTCTAAACTTATGATTATACAAGCAGCAAAAAACTCTTAAAGTATAACCATATATTCTACTTGCTTCTTCTTCTGAAAACCTTTTATTTTTACAAATGTGATATCTCAAATCACCACCACTAAGGAGATCAAGTACTAAGTATAAATTCTCTCTATCTTAAAATGCTGAATGCATATTAACAATAAAAGGATGATGCAATTACTTTAACAAATTCTTTTCATTTATTACTGATGTTACACATTTTTTTTCGACAATTCTATATTATTTCAGAAAAATACTTTGTTTTTGACATTATTTTCATAGCATAAAGTTAATTGTTTTTTTTTCGTCTTACTTTTATGACTTTTCCAAATCCACCTTTACCAAGAATATCTAATATTTCAAAATTTCTTATAGATTACACTAATTATAGTAATGAAAATACTTGCTTCTTAAAATTCTTCTTTTTTATCCATTACATTACAATTGCCCATGTGTACAAATTTAAAGTAAAGTAATTGCTAATTATTAATTTATTTTTGGAATTTATTATTTGAATTTTTATATCCATATCTTTTTTAGAAACAAGATAACCACTAATACAACAATTTATAAAAATAAAGTACTGACAGAATTTCTAAAATTCATTTAACATTATTTAATTTTTAATACAAATTGAATATAAAAATTCCTATTAAATTTTCGTATTAAAATAATCTATATGAGTTAATAATAATCAACGTCCTCTTCCTCTCTTTTTTACTGGTTAATAGATTTCTTCTCCTTCCAAACTATCTTCCTCTTCAATTTTTTATTTTGAAGTAGATCCCCTACCTTTCCCTTTAATTTTTGGACAATCATCACTATCACTTTCTTCTTATTTACCTTTACCTCTTCCTCTTCCTCTACCTCTACCACCTGCTTATCCTTTAGATCTAGATGGCATATTAGAGCATTCTAGACTTACATTACTCATAAATAAATTAACAATATCTCTATATTTTTCCATTCCTTTGAAGTCTGGTTAAAGTAAATCCTCAGGTTCTTCAATATTTTATTCTTACAATGCTAATCCTTACAAATATGTATAAAATCTATAATAATAATTTATAAGTTACTTCTATATGGAAGGATCTTCAAAATTTGAACAATCAAAATCTTGAATTGTTAAAGCATTTACTAAAATCTTAGCTGCATTTAAGGTCTACCTTGTAATATCAGCTCCTTCTTATTTTACAGAAGATAATCCTCTTATATCATCAGCATATGGTAAAAATATAAGATGCAATCCTGGAGGTGTTTAAAAATGATTTTCATCATATTATTCTGCTTAAGGAAGTAATGCACAAAATCTTACCTAAGATCCTTATTTAGGAACTAATCTAACAATTCCTATTTTCTCTTTCAATATCATTTATTAAATTAATGCATCAAAAAATTATGATGATCCATTTACATGTTCATCATCTGGATATAAAAAATAAGATGCTCTATAATTATGATAATCCTTCAATGCACTTGAAGATTTAAAACCAATTAAAGTCATTCCAGGTTTTTCAAATCCTTTTATTTTAGCCATATATTCTTTTGGAATTGCTATTTTCTCATTTCCCAATATCAAATGAGTAGATATTTATTATGGGAAAAGTGCTTATCCTGTTTCTTCATCAATAAATTATGCTTTCTTTTTAAGTTATTAATTGTATCTCCTATCTAATGGTTTTCCAGTTGGTTTTTTAGCTTTATTGACTAAACAATATATTTTTAATCCAATTTTAATATCATCTATATCCATAATTAATCTATTCAAAGCTCTTTTCTTAAATTCTTTTTATTTAATTCTTTAATGCAAATCCATAATTTTAGTTGATGTATCAAGTACAGCATTATTAACTTCATCCAAATCAATAGTTATGATCTCACCATAAAATCTAGCAATTTTGAATTCATTTTAACTAGGTAATGGGAATAGTTCAATCTATACATCTGCATCTTTTAATTATTTGGCATATTTTAAAGCTGATGATCTAGCATTCTGATCTTTAAAATAAGGTAAATCATCTGGAGTGAATAAAAATATACGCATATTAAATTTATTCTTATCTCTAAAAAATATTTATAATAAGTTTACAATTCTTTAAATTCATGATTACATAACCATAAACATTCATGAAAATGTGCATTATTACCTAATTGATAATCTTTTTCAAAATTTTGCTCTATTTTTAAACAATTTTTAATAATATCAGCAGATGGTCCATCTAATTTATAGATTTCTGTAATGTTATTGAATTTTAATTGATTATTAGTAGATTTCTATTTTAATTTATATCAATTACTGTATTGTAAAATATCATACCAATTCGATCATCTGGACTTGATATGATTTTTGCCTTCATAAAACTAGAAAATGCAGATAATATTTTTGAAAATACTGTGCCTTATCCATCTTGATCCATATCAAACAATGTTTTTTTGCAATCTACTAAGAATATGACTGCATCTTTTTTGCTTCCTGCATCATGTACTGATATATCAGCATCTTCTCCAAATATATCTTCTCCATCTTAGATTTCTTCAATATCATCTCCTCCTACATGTTCCTCTTCAAAATCCATTTTTTTATTAATTTATTAAACAGAAACAATACAGAAATTATTTTATTAATTAATATCATTATAATTATTGGAATGAAAAATGTAAAATCTCAAAAAAAAAGGACCATATATTGTTACTATTTTTATGCCAAATTATATAACTGTCTTATTATAATATTGAATTATAATCAAAATAGATAAGGTTGGTGATATTGTGGCATGGCATATCTAACCTAAAAAAATTTTATACTTATAATACCATTTATTGTAGTTGATTATACTGAATAGTCAAATATGAATAATTTTAATTCAATTATTATTTCTCCTGTTAGAATTAATTTGCTCTCCCTTATAAATATAAATTCTAAAATTTATTTAAAGTTTCTAACCTAGGTTTTTAATTATTATATTAAAATAGCTTAATTTCTATTTTGCTCCTCCACTAATTGAATATGAATTGTATCTAAATTATCTTATACTGTATTTTGTCTCATTTAGCATTATTCTTACTTTGTCAATCCAACTTCACTTTTAAAGTTTTGCTTATCACCTTAAATTAATATCTCAGCCTTTTTTAATTCTTACTAGGTCTTATCCCTTTTGAGTTTTTTTGTCATTCTTCCTTCTCTTCTAAAAATCTGCATGATTGCCTTTGCAGTTGAGAAATTAATATTCAAATCTCTTGCAGCATTTTTTATAGTACAACCTGTAGTTGTTATCTATTTGATAAGTTTTTATCGTTATTCATTTGATATTTTTTAATACTTTAACCCATGCTTACCTATTCCATTTTATTAATAAGTTTTACCTTTATATTTTTGGAGAAGTTCTTAGTCTTCTTCTGGAGTTCTTTTTAGATTAGACTTTTGATTCAAATCCTTCACAAAATCATAAGAGGAATCTGAAGAGTCTGAGTCTCTTGGTGAAGTTGAATTATTATTCTTTAATTCTTCTTAAGGTCTTTCTACTTGAGAATTTTATTATATGGAAGTCATACAATTTAAGTATATCAATTTAAAAAATAATTGAAAAAAATGTTGAATTTAACTCCTTTTATAGTGTTTTTGGCACTCATTTGTTGTTCTTTATAATAATAAAAAAGAGAGGGGATACTCATTCGATAAACATAATTTGTGACATTTTATATATATAATTTAACTATTAACTTTTCAAAAAATTTTAAATATAAAATCCACATTTGATTAATTATTAATTAGGAAATACATTATATATAATCAAAATATATTAATTTTATTCCTTCTTAGAATAACTAATATGCAATGATATTAGATTATATTATCATATAAACAGTATTCTCAAAGACTTTCAATTAAATTAAAGTTTCTTTGAAAACTAATTTTAAAAAAAAGTTAAAAAATCTAAATATTTTTGTCTTTAGTTTAAGGAAGTTATGACTATATAATAGTTAATTTTAATAATGTAGTAAACCTATTTAAATCCTATAAATTTATCAAAAAGATAATGAAAGATTAAATTTAGAATTAAACAAATGTTGTTATAAACAAAAGACATGTTTATAATTTGATTAATCTTAAAAATAATTCTAAGTGTAAGTGATATTATTTTATTATAATCCTTATCAAAAACTCTAATTATTTTTTTGATTTAATTATGATAAATTTGTATTCTATATTGATGCTTAGGTTAAATTATATCAATAATTAATATATAAATTATATTAGGAAATCAAGAAATTTAATCTATAAATTTAATTAAGTAGATAATTAGATATAGATTTATTAAAACAAAATTATGATATTTCACAAAATCATATGTTCATTTTGAAATAGTTTTTGTACTACAGATAAATCTAATTAGAGATCAAGTTAGTTTTTACTAAATACTTTTAAATAGTCCATCTATTTATTTTATTCTAGTACTAATTCATCCTATTTAAATAATATGAAGATAATATACTTCATCAATATTATTTAATTAGGTTTTGACAAGAATGAATGGAAATCTGATCTTTTCATTTTCATCTACATCTCTCATTTTATTCAATTCTACTAATTTTTTAAGGCTTTCTTATTGTTTAATTTAAGTTGTTGCTGAAGCTTTTTTGATTTATAATTATTCTTTTAATTTTTGCTGTTAAAATTAATTTTAATTTAATACTTTTCTAATTATCAAATTCTACTTTGTTAGATTAACTTAGGTTTCAGCATTCTTTCTCATCAATTTATTCTCTTTGACTACTATTCCTATTGAAATCATAACATTTAAAGCATCATAGACTCTTCTTCTAAGATTTTTTATTTCTTTCTATCTATCATTTTATTATCCATCTAAATCTTAAATCATTTCATCAGTCAATTATTAACAAATATCACTATATGCAATTGCTTCATGAGATAATTCTTTCATAACTCGATTACTGATATATTTTAGACTCCACTTCTTCTATGTTTTTATAAGATCTGATTGAATCTTTGGTTTATCGAAAGGTTCAGTCTAAACAAATAATTTCTTGTTTGTGTTTGCTTATGAATTGCAATTAGCCTCTGAATCTAAAAATATATTTTTTTGTCACAAAATTGAAGTATAAGCGCGAAAATATTCCGCCATAACATGTAATATATTATACGAAATGGAGATGGAGAATTTAAAACATACCTTAGACTAATCCTTTAATTGGTGTTTGGAAGATATTAATTGCCATCGAGTCTTCATCAAGTCTGAATTATCCTGTGAAATCCATATTAAACCTTTTAATAAATTATTAATATAATTTAATTCTTCATAAAAATAATGTTAATGAATAAAAAGTATTCCTTTTTTCATTAGTATTACTTTAAATCCTAAGAAATTTGTAAAAACTTAAACTAAAATAAATAATATAAAAAACCTTTTAAGATTTATTATTTCCTAAAATAATATTTTATGTTAATAAAGATTTTTGAGTAAAATGCTTAGCCATTCAATTTTATAAATACTATATTATTAAATATCATATAACATTCTCTCATTGTAAACAATTCTCCATAAGAGCCTAAACCTTTTATTGAATTAAACTGAGTTAATTCTTTAAGATAGGATATGCAAGAACAGCTTTCAAAATATCCTCTTCTTCAAAACCTAGTTACTAATATACAATATCTGATAATAAAACAGTAATAATAACTGAGCCAAATTATAAGTCATCACCCTTAAATAGATTAATTTTATTACTTGTAATGTTTTAAGGTAATTTTGGAAAAAATTAATATCATCAAGCTTTTTCAATTGAATATTTGCTACTTAGGCTAATTGTTATTCGCTGAGTTCTTTTTTGCTAGGAATTGATGCTCTTAATCAATTAATAAAATTAATTACATTAATTTCTATCTTAAAGTTAATTAAAACACAATAAATCTTTCTAAAGCTGCTTAAGTTTAAAATTATAGAATAAAGCTATTTTCATATATTTCTGAAGATATTCTAAGCTTAGAGCAAATATCCAATTGTTTTTAATTAATGAGTGTCTCTAACTCATTATTAAATTCTAAAATACTCAGAGTATATTATTATGGATTATTGAATACTCTTCTTCTCTCTAAAATTAATTAATTATTACCAACTCTATTTTTCTATTAATTTAAACTGTATTGTTAAGCACATAATTTAAAACCTGCCTCTGTTATGGTCATTAAAACTTCAAAAGATAGAGGCATTTAAGTTTCTTGAAATGCTTTCAATTCTTTATTTACTCTGTTTATGAAATCTACACTATAAATACTAGATGAATCTTCATTATTATTTATTTGAGTTTAATTAATTACTTATTAAGAAGTTTAAGTAACACCTACTTCTGATATCTACTCTTCATTTTGTTGTACTTAACTGGAAACAATAGATTCATTATTATTATGATTATTATTATTTTTTTTTTTTTATTTTTATTTTTTATTTAAGACTCTTAAATATTAAGAAATAATACATTCCTGCTGCCAAAATTGCTGCACTTGCTATTACTAATAAAGACTTAGTTGCAATATTTGCCATTGATTAATTTATTAATTAATTTATTGATAAAAACAAAACCAAAACTTATTTTGGATCAAATTACTATAATAAAATCTCAAATTAAGATTTATTCTTAATTATTATATATCATTCTAATAATATTATTACTAACTAAATTAAATAGAATTAATAAATGATTTATATTTATATAAACAATTTATGATATAATTTATTATTTGATAATATAATCAACAATTATAAACTTATATATGATTTACAAAGTAGTAATTAAACGTATCTCATTTTATATGTTCTCTAATTTAAAAAGAATAATATAATTAAAAATTAAACATTAAAGTATAATTTAAATAATATCCAGCTTTCTTTTAAATCAATAATTTGGAATTAATTATAGCATCAGATACTATTTTATAATACCATTAATGAATTACATAAAAAAATTAATTTCCATTATAAAATATTTGAGATAAAAATTTATTTTATTATTTATGTTCAGAAAAATATACACAAATATATCTATCACCCTCATTAAGTAATTGAGAGAAGCATCAGGTATATTTGAATATACTTATGTCAGGCTCCCCTATCAATGAGTGTAAAAAAGCCTTAGAATCAACAGATGGTAATTTTGAGAAGGCTATTCAATATCTCAAAGAAAGAGGATTGGCTTAAGCTGAGAAGAAATTGGGCAATTAAACTAAACAAGGAGTTATTGTGGCTTATACTAATAATAAAGTGGCTGCCCTTGCTGAAGTATCCATCAATTTTCTAATAATTTAGATAAACTGCGAAACAGACTTTGTAGCCAGAACTAGTGAATTTTTAGAATTTTCGACAAATTTTATTAAAACAGTTATTAATTAAGAAAAAGATTTCAATAGTTCAAATATTGATTCTGTTCTAAAGTAAAGCTAAAACCAAGCATACTTTGAGACTAGCATAGACGACAAGCGTAAATAATTAGTAGGCAAATTGTAAGAAAATATTGTTATTGGTAATTTAAATACATTTGTTGCTACAAAAAATAGTATCATAATTTATCTATATTTTAAGGTGTTTTCGGAGTTTATCAACATAATTGCTTAAAAAATACAATTTGTGGTTTGGGAGGAAGTATTGTTGAATTAATTACAGAATAAGAATTAAATGATGTCAAATCATAAATCTTAAGAGAAGGAGCCAATAATTTGGCTGTCACTTATTTGGGTTTGAAACCTAAATTCCTATATGAACAAGAGGTATCCTCAGATATAATCGATTAAATAAGAAAAGAAGTCTAAAAGGATTTTGGATCAAAGACTCCATAATAGCAAAATTTTATTGTTTAGGGCAAGCTTCAAAATTATTATTCAGATAATGTATTTGAGCACCAGGAATATATCTTAAATGAAGATGAACCATAGACTATAAAATAATATATCAAAAAAGAGTTAGAAGATCCCATTAAGGATAAAGTTAAAATAGGTAGATGTCTATACTTAACAATATGATATAATATCATATAATCAAAGGGAATATGATATTTTCTTTATTTTCTTAGGTCTTCTTTAGCTAAAGCTCATTTATTGTGTAATTTCAACTAAGTATGTAATCTTAAATCTCTTCAAATAACTATAATGAATATCAGAACATAATCTATTCTAAGTATGATTCTTTTTTCAATACAAGGTTATCTGCTAATTTATAAATGTGATAAAATTTAAATGCTATTTCTTGATAATTTTATTTATTATTTTAAAGTTAGCAATATCGCAATGAAAACTATAATATGATTTTTATATACTTTTTAATAATAACAAAATTACAAAATCAATTTCAAACAAACTTTTATTTTTTCGTTTTTTTTATAGAGAATGAAAGTTTTTAATAATCCTCATTTCCATTCTAAAAGTAGTTCATCTAAACCTTCTTCACTTTAATCTTCAAGAGTAGGTGGGAGTAAAATAATAGGAAGTCCTTAAGGACAAGAATAAGATCTTAATGAAATGTTATAATCACTAAATCCTACATAAATTATAGCTTAGGAAGAAGAATCAAAGTTTGATTTATTATAAGAAATGCAGTAGTTGAAAACAAAAGTTTTAGGATTACTTAAAAAATACTAAGTTATGCTATAAAATGAGAATGCAAAATAAGTGAAAAGTAAAATAAAGTCAGATGTTCAAGAAATTTAAATTGAATATGAAGATATAATAGCATAATATTAGATAGATTAGAGTTAATTAGAAATAGAGAACAACATTCCCACTGTAGAAAAAGAGAAAGTAATAAATAATTATGATAATAAAAGGAATTGAATACTATTTTTAATTTAGTGGAGGAGTTCTTAGAGCGTTTCTCTCATCATAAAGCTACTTTGAATTATTTTTCAATTTTGTAACAATAAAAAATGAGTCGAAATGGATTAGGGGTATTTTCTGTTGATCACAATGACAGATAATCTATGTATGACTTTTAAGAATAATTACCTGATTTAACTGATAGCAATAATTCAGAAAATACTCTTGAAATTTAACAGGCAAAAATAGCCTTATCAAATTCATAAAGATTAAGAAGTCAGATTAGAAGACGCTTCTTTGATATAGCTTTAAAAGTGAAAGAAGGATTACCCCTTTATCATCCAGGTAGATAAATCTTGGTTTCCATACTTTTTGAAGATGCAGAAGAAGAAGGTATTGATGAAATTGAATGGGAATCATGGATTGTGAAATAATTAAATAAGTGATTTATAATGTTATAAGATGAGATCATGAAACCTTCTTTTAGGTTAAGCGATTTATTAAAGTACGAAGACCAAAGTTTCTATTCTGACTCTCCAACTAAGAGAAAGTCTTTGGCTCCTCCAAAACCTCTATAAAAACATATATTTGATATTACTAATGGGGCTTTTCAGTTTATTATTGGAGAATTTACATAAAGTATTAAAAAAGAAAGAGTGCCTATATAAAAAAATCTAATTAAAAGGATTAATCAATATGTAGAGAATGAATGCTAATAATTGCAAGTTTAATAATAATTAGAAAAGAGAATTCAATAAAAAATAATCGAAGATCTTAATTTATTAGTATTTGCATTATGTCATATTTCAAAACCAATAGTTGATTTTTTAGAAAATCATTTTATTGATTATGCTGAAGAATTGTAAATAACCATTTGGGAAATCAATCTATAACTTTTTCAACCTAAAATTGTTGAATTAATAAAAAAATATATTGCCACTAGTATGAACATAGTTCCTGGAAACTTGTATTCTTAATTGTTAGAGTAAGCGCATTAATTAATATGCAATCTATCATTTGAAGTTTCTGATTAGATTTGCTTAATTTTAGAGGAATGCCGTGGTTACATAGAACCATTTATTGCAAAATTTCGAGAAAGAGTAATATTTATTAAATAATATAGAATATCCCATAAATATTATTAAATAAATACACTATATTAGCATTATTTTAAGAATTAAGTTAAAATTGCTATTAGACTATATAAGACCTCTTGGAATTTACAATATTTCATTATGCAGAACCTGATATTGTTGAAAAATTTATGAAATATGCTATAGAAAATTATGACACACTAATATTAAAAAATAAAATGCTATCTAATTCAGCATAATAAAATGAAAATATTAACAAAATAACAGTAGATCAAGTTGTAGATTATCTTCAATAATGTATCACAAATAAAAATAAATCAATTGCTGTTTATAAAATTTAATATAGATAAAAGTTGCAAAAATAATTAAGTGAAGATGATGAAGATTAATGTACTTAATCAACTGATATTAAATCTTTTAAAATGAATAAAGATACAAGATATTATTTAAATGGATTATATTTAGAAAGTGAAGATCCTTAATCAAAATTTATAATATATGTAATGAATGAAGAATTTAAAGTAATTTATGCTCCATTGGTTAGTAAAAGATGGGCATTTTAGAAAGTAATTTGATTAATTTATTTAGACATTTGTTATTGATTAGTAAGAAAAAGATGGTTTTTTTAAAAAAGATTCTAATAGAAAGTCAGGTTGGGGAGTTTATCCAGTAAAATTTAAATCAATGAAGGAATTGATCCACTCTAGTTGGGTTCATGAATAATTAGCTTTAATGATATTGAATTAATATTAAGAAGATGTGTACTAATTAAGAAGATAGGTAGAAGGTGAAATGGATACAATGTTTGGATCATTTTTAGCCAATGTTAGCAGAAACAAGTATTTGAAATATTTATTTATAGAGAATTTTTATAACATTTTGGTGAAAATGCTGTTAATAATGGATGTATGCAATAATTGGTTGTTTATATGCCTTTACTTAAAGATTTTTTAAATTTAGGAGGGTTTGGAGCTTAAGCATTATTGACTAGTTAAGAAATATACACTCCATAAAGAACATTTACATCTACATTAGCAATATCCACTTCATTAGTTTCAGGAGCAATTATTGGTTAGGCTTTGATTCCAATACCATTTGTTGGGGGAATTGTTGGAGGAATTATAGGAGGATATTTAGGGAATAAGGGAATGACTAATTATACTAAGAGTAGGAATGAAAAAAAGGCTTTGGAAATGGTATTAAAATTATAACTAAATTAATTACAAGATGGTCATTGGGAATGCAATAAAGTCAATTTAGATATTATGGTTATTAATTTTAAAATATTAAATGATCATATGCCAAAGGTTTTAAGTGAGGATAGTGACAGATAAACTAAATGGATTAATTTAGTGATATTTGCAGTATTAAGTTTGTTCTTTAATTCCAATGAAATGCCGGGAGTATGGCAGGAATGTTTAGATTGTCTAATAAAATATATATAAATTGAGAAAATATAATTGGCAGATACTCTGGAAAATTTAAAATAGATAGTTGAAGTCATAGTAAAAAATCTTTGACTTTATATTAATTTAAATATGAAAATACCTCTTAATACTCTTGAGTAGCCTAAAGAAATCGAACGTCGTGTAATTTCTTTCAGCCTAATTTTAGCTCTTGGCATCAATCTTAGCAAGCCCCAACTTCTTGGAAGAGTTGCTTTAATTAGCGAATGACAAGAGTAATGTTATCCACAAATTATCTTTGGGATCATTAACTTTACTTATGGATAAATTAGACGATTATATAGAGAATATGGCTTAACTAGTATAATAGAACTCTAAATATGATTGTTCATAGTTGTTAAACCTCATTAATAGTTTAATGGAGTATGAATGTTATAGGTAATAATTTAAAAAATATTGATAGAAAATTATTTAATTCCTTAGAACATATATTAAGCATAGTGGAGCATACAGATAGTCTGTAAAATTATGAGACCATTATGAACATTCTAATCAAAATTTTGGAATAAGCAATAAATCTAAATAATCCTTAATAAAAAGAAATATGCAATTAATAATTAAGAGATAATATCCCTAGATTAATTTACTTTACTAGATTCCTCTTTGATCATAATAATGCACTTTCATCAACTAAACTTGAATTGATTGATTATTATCATGATGATCCAAATTATTTATCTATTACAGACAATCCAATTTAATTTCCATAATTACAATTTGAATATGTAGAACCGACTATTTTAGATGAATCATATGCAGATTTATGTAAAAATGGTGTTCACAAAAAAGAATTGCAACATTAAACATCAATTAAAGTATAATATACTTATTTAAAATATTTTTAGAATTTTAGCATATAAGATGATCATTCTATGTCTGCTCTTCTTTTAGCTAAAAAAACATTAGGATAATAAGATATGCCTTTAACTCCATTAGTAGAGGCAGTAAAATATAGAATTTTAATTTATAGAGGTTTAGCTTCAAATAAAATTTAAACAAATACTTTAGTTTTAAGTATGTATATTTTATCACTTGAAATGAATATGTTATTAGATGCATTCTGTTCAACTTAAGATTGTGCTTTATTATTAGATTAAGTATTTGTGGAGAAAATAGAATATGAACAATATTTTAGTATCTATGCTAAATTATTTTAATTAAAAACTGTGTAACCTAAATTATTAATTAAAATTTTATCAACTTTGGATGAAATATTAGTTACTGAAAGATAGTAGGATAATGAAATAGCATTAAATACAGCCAAAAATTATGATGAAACCTTTTTATAATTAATATATGATGTTTTATCAATGTAACCACATTAAATTGAAATTGAATCAAGTTACCCCTTAAAATATAATGGATAATTATTAAATGAACAATGTGCTAGAGATGAAGAAGTTGCTTGTGGAATTTTTAAATTATTCTCATCAGAATCTGGAGTCCTTTTATTAAGTAGAAGTAATATAGCACTAGGATCATCTTAAGCTTTAATTAGAACACTCCTTATTTAAGATAATAAATTGCTTTTGCCACCTGAAATCCTTAAAGCTGCTATTGGAATGTTAGGAAGGTTGTCTAGAAAAGAAGATCTACAAAGAGATCTTAAAATATTTAATGATCTAATTAAAGTAGTTGAAAATCTTATATCCATTGGTCCTAATCTAATGAAACCTACAGATTAAGGATATCAACAAATTACTTTTGATGAATCTGATTCAATTATTTCCTTTGCTATCTAGAGTATCAATGAACATTTCAAAGATGATCTTGGAAGGAGATATAATAGAGCTAATGCACCTACGATTGCCAGAAAAGTATCAGAAACTTAGATAATTAAAAAACTATGCAATTTACTATAAGATAGCAGATACACTCTTATTATATAGTAAACACTAATTTTGATTTCACATCTTGCAAATGAAGTTCCTACTCTAATTGGTAGATTAATAGATTCTTAATTACCATAATAATTAAATTCTATCATACAGAATCTAACTTATACTTAAATTAATAATAAAATGGTTAATGCTATATTTTAATTTTATTTTAATGTTTCATTAAAAGAAGAAGGATATGATCAATTTAATACATTTGGCTTATAATTCATGGAACAAATTCTTGATCACTGTTTGATTCAATCTAATGTGCCAAAGGAATTAATAACATCTGTAGGATAGAATATTGCTAAATATTTACAAAAAATTGATAAGGTTGGTCCATAAGTAATAAATATTCTTATTATTGGATTGTAAAGGCTTTATAATAATTTGATTGAAAAGAAAAATAATTTGAAAGAAGACACATATTAATAATATTATGAAATTATTACTAAAATCTCTAACCTATCTATATTAACTTTCAAAATGATTCATAATTTACATCCATCATAATAAGCTGAAATGAATGCTAAAGGATTTTTTGAAAAATTACTATCGTTTTTTGAATTTCCTACTTTTGATTTTAAAACTGACTTAACTAAAGTATTCAGGTTATTTGCTTAATTAGAAGAATTGGATAATCCATTTTAAGCATTATCTAAAGTACTTGCCTCTATTTCTAAATTGGAAAGTAAATTAGGTTGTACTTTTGAAAAAACAAACATTTAAATTGATGAATCATTTTATAGTTCTGAAAAATTCTTTCTAACATGTCCTTTGGATTAATTATAGTAGAAATTAGAATTAGTTTCCTATTATTCTTAAATTGAATCATTGATGGAGGTTTTAAAACATTATTTGATGAATGGTTAAATCAGATATGATTAATAGGAAATATCAAAATTATTGAATAAGAGTTGTTACTTATTTTTAATATTGATAAGATCTATTAAATATGGAGAAGATTAGAAAATGGAGTAAGTATTCAAAAAATCTGTTTTCTACTAATTTATTTAATTATTAAAAGTCATAATTATCAATTCCTATAGAGTAATGAGAAGAATCAATAATGAATTACAACCACTTAGCAATTTATTTTGTTAATTAAGTTAAAATTTAAGGAATGAAAATATTTAAGTAATTTAATTACATACTTATCTAATCAATGATTTATTAAATAATCTTGTTGAAGGTAAAAAGTATGCAGATTTCTAGAATTTGCATCCAGACTTTTTAAGTTTGTTAATTAATTCTGATTTTCTAGAAAATTTAAAATAAGGAATTAGTTAATTTATTTAATTGGTGAATCAGAAAAATAATATTGAACATACAGATTAATTGGGTTGGTAATATGCTAATATTATTAAATTAATTTATCTTAACAAAATAGATCAAAGCAAAAAGATATAAGGATACATGTTAATTCCTAAGTAAATTGAAGAAATTTAAAATCTCCTAACAATTACATAATGTTTATCAGCTGATTCCATATATGCAGTTTAAGAATAATTAATTAATAAAGTAGTTTTTATTTTCCGCCCTTCCTTCTTATAAGATATTATCATGAAAGATAAAGATAACTATTTTTAAAAAACATATTAAGTTTTTAGAGGTGAGAATGGAGGTGAAATAGATATATTACAATAAGATCCTAATGAAGTAAGAACAAAACTTAGAGATATGGGTTATGATGATGATGTGATTACAATTGCACTTCAAAATAATGATATTTATGATGTCACTAGACTTACTGATTGGATATGTGAAAATTTCGATATGATTGAAGAATAAAGAGTTAAAATAATGGAAATTTAAAAGAATGAACCTTCATTAGAAGAAGTCACAAAATAAATTCAAGAGAAATAAAAAATTCTTAAATAATATATCTAAACAAATATGTTAAATTTTAGTAGATTTGAAGAAAGTATCTTCTTACTATTGGAAGGATAAGTAATGCCTTCCTTATTAAAGTGCTTAAAGTAGGTTGCCTATGAGTAATTTAAATTATAACTCAAATTTAAGGATTGTGAACTTGAAATCAAACAACCTTAGACTGAGAATATAAAAGTCATCATTACAATCTTGCATTACATTTATAAATAAAAAAATCTTGTTGAAGAATATGAAAGTATCGTAACTGAATTGATGAAATTGGCTTAAGAATTAATGAAATTCTAAGATGATCTTAGTCTTAAAGCTGTTAATCACATATTGGCAATTTTAACTCTCTTTATAACTGATGATCAAAAAAAGAAAAAGAATCATCATGATACAGTTAATGATATCCTTTTGGGAGTAATAAATATATTAAAAGGAAAAGTTCAAAATCATACAACCTCAAAAATTTGTATTGAAATTCTTGTGAGAGCATTCCAAGTAAATAAGGAGAATGTTTCAAAATTTGTCTCTCAAATGAGAGGATTAGAATATCTAATGAGAATTAAAGGTGATTCATAAAATCATATGTTTCCATTAACTAAATTAGCTCTATCAATTGTTCATGATAAGAGTTTGGTTATTGCTTAGATTGAAGCTAAAATTAAAAAGATTCTTTATAATCAAGAATACAATAAAGAAATTGAAAATATCAATAAATAACAATAATAACCTTAATAATAGGTTCCATAATAACATTAACCTCATCATCCCATTTGCTTTTAACCAATTTATTATAATATTCCCATAACAAATGACATTAAAATTGCCTCTAATCATCCAGCATTAATGACAATTTAAAGTTAAGCCTTTTTTGCTGAAGAAGTAAAAGAGGTTATGTCCCATTTATTTGAAGATGGAGAAACTATTGATGGAGTTAAATATTTAAATCTTAGAAAAGGTTGTTCATTATACACTTTCGATTGTGTTTAGCCTACTAGTTTTTAAAAGCATAAGGAACCAGAAACTGCAAAAAAAAGTAAATAAATCTCAAAAAAAAAGAAGAGTGAAGATAAATTATAATTACAATCCAACTTTTAACATACTTAAGAAGCATAAATCTTGATCAAATTATTAATATAATAAATGATATGCTCCTTTTTTGAAAATGAATAATATCAATATCATTGGTATACTATTACTTAAGTATTGTAAATAATGATTAGACGTTATCCTGTCTTAATACCAAAAATAGTAAGAGTAAATTGTAGTAAATTATTAAAGCCTTATTAAAAATAA